CTTCTCTGCATCCCCTGCTGGGGTCATCTTGGAAATGGGGGCACAGGTATGGGCAAGAAATTTTAGTGAAAGGCTCACCATTTCCATTGTTGTAACAAGAAAGACATCAGTGATTTTAGAAAAATGATGCTGACCCCACAAGGTGCAAGTCTGGGTCTATGAACTGTAGATATCCGGTGACACAAACCAAAGGAGATTTAACATTAAGAAAAGTATTTGTATAGTTGCCTACTATAATTGTATCCTCTGTGAAATTGTTATCTGTAAAAATACAATACTTTTAGAAATTGACTGTAATTCACCTACAAAATCTCTTTAAAAAGAACGAATTTATCCAAGGCATATATGATGAAGAAAAACACCATGTAGTTTAGTCATTGCTCAGTTTGTCTTTTATTTAAATTAATTCAGATTTTACTTCTATTGCTAAGTGTAAATATTTTTATGATACAAAGTTGCTTTCAGAATGACTTCCTCTAGGTTTTATATAAGAGTAGCATGTCCTGGGGAAAGCTTGGTTCATGCTGTTTGCTTAGATCACCTTAATTGATGATTTGTGAGTTTTAAGAGGCACGATTACATATTTAGAAATATAAGACTGTATCACTGGTGAGTCATAAATTATGCATATGTAATTTTTCCTTCACCACCAGCGTCATCAAATATATCATTAAAAAATTAGCGACATGATTTGAAATAAAAAACCCTAATGCTTTATCATGTTGTACCCAAAGAGATTTGAATAGATATAAAAGTTTTATTGTTTACTTATTATTTAAATCCCTGAATTGTTACATATAAGAAGAATGCTATCTTTTCATTGGTAATTTAAAAAACCCCTCTTCCATCTGAGGTAATTTGAGTCTCTTGTTGCTGGAAGATAGTGGCTGGACTGGATTAATTACCTGTGTTTTGTCTGGCCGTTTTGTTTATGACTCTGTGTCCTGGTGTGCTGAGAGTTTGGTGTGATCTTGTGCAAATGATCTGGCTTGAAGAAATGACATGAAAGCTTTTTTTCTGTTTCATTATTTTACTCAATTATAATGAAGAATTGTATTTTCAGAGAGAATGAAGACAATTAGCAATTGCAGACTATTTCACAAAATGAAAGGAAATAAGAGAATCAAGTTTCCTATTTACTATTGAAACTTTTTGTTGTTGATCGTCATATCATTTCATCTTTCCTCCACTCTGGTACTTTATGTCTTTAGCAACACTGAAAGCTAAGAAAGAGTAATTTTGGTGCTAGCATTGGAGAAACACATCTCTTTTCCTGGGACCAGAACTCTAAGGTGATTAGTGCTCCAGCGATGTAGGAAACCAATGTAATGGCTTGTGTTTCCATGAGAAATCAGCTCCCCCTTCAAAATGTGAACAATCCCTACTGAGCTATGACTCACCTGGCCCACTGGGAGGGCTTGGAGAGGAGAGCATCACACTGAGAAGCAGGGATAATTGTGAAGGCCAGTGAAGCTTTAGAAAAGAGACTGCTTGGGTGGAAAGAGAAATATTAAAAAGAAACACAATATAAGTGCAATCAAGTATCTTGAAGTAAATTAGAGAATAAAATAATATGGCTTAATGGCTCAAGACTCAGAAACAGACTGAAAATTCAAGACTATCAATTCTGATCCTGCCTGGGTGATGAGCTCACACAGGCACCTGCACAGGCAAATCACCTCCTGAGGTTCTGGAGTGACTGAGATTCAGCAGCTCCTGCTAAGTTCAGAATGTGATAGCAGACCGATGGGCATATTTTGCTCTTCTGACATGGACTCTCTTTTAAAATTTTTATTTATTATTATAAGATATATAATAATTCATTTTGGGGAATATATATATATATATATATATATATAAAATCTTGATCATTTTTAATCTCCCTTCTACCCCCACCCTTCCCTTTCCCCCCTTCCTCAGTCCCCCTTTTCCCTTTCCAAAATTGAGAAATCAAGATAAATACCATTATTACCTTATATACCTTATACCATTCCTTATATACCATTCCTTATATTCCTTATGCCATATTTCCTTATATAGCTTTCTTTGCTCATTGTCACCATCCCCTCCCACTTCATTGAAATTTGAAATTTTAAGAACTAATACTTAGAGTTACCTTAATAAAAGTTATCAGCTGAAGTCTACTTACCTTGCTAAGAGGGGCTAAAATCATTGTCACGTTCAGCCATTTCTTCCTCACACAATACTGGATGCCATGGTACATCAACTCCAGCCCCTCGTACTACTGGTTCTTAGTGTGTAGTTAGTTTTTGGGCTTAACCCAACCTTTGGCATAGTGACAACTTTGTTCTTTTTTCTCATATTCCAAAAATAGAGCTTCCCCTTGGTAACATGGAAATGGAGCTTCTCACTATCATCTGGGAAGTCATGTGGATTTGAGATATGGAAACCCATATCCTGGCTCTTGTATGCTCATGTGGCCAGAACTACTGGGCATCTCTAAAAGTGCAGAGCAGTAAAAGTGGTGGAGAGGTGGTGAGTCTCCCACTGAACTTTGCTTATAGCTTAGGGGCCCCTTGGTATCTTTATTCTTGAGGACACAGTGACAGTGTACAGTCTGTGAACTTCAGAGCTGTGAGAAATAATGTCTGTGTGTAAGCTCTCCAGTTCACAGTATGTTGTCAGAGCAGCCCAAATGAACAAAGATACTGGTTCATTTATTATCCCTCCCAGCCAGACTTGTGCTTGTTGATTGCTGCTGGTATTTAGCATTGAAGAATATCTCCCAAAGGCCAAATCTGGGATCTTTTTCTAAATCTTATTTCTTCCTGAGTTAATGAAGCACACATCATTGTTGCCCATCCCAAACCCATCAGCTGAATCTTTGAACAGCTGCCTAATGTGTTTTACATTTGTCTTTTGTTCCTGTTTATTTCCAAGATGTTCATCATCATCTCCAGCCTCAACTCCTCAGCGCCATGTTTTATTTTCAACCGAGCACTTCCTCCCAGATATTCTGCCAAGCCCTAAACTCTAGATATAATTTCAAACTCTATTCTGGCTGTTTAAACTTCAAAAAGTACATCTTTGATATGATACAGTTCCTTTTTAAAAAATCTGTAATGGTTCCTCACTGCCTGTTCAGTTACACACAGGTCTCCAGCATGATGTTCAAGGCCTTACATGACGTTTCCTCAAGCCATAGTTCCAGTCTTTTCCTTTTCATTATTTTTTAACACATACCCTTTCCCGGAGAGTAACTTAAGAGACTGCTGAATTTTAAATTTTGCTTTCATTCCTTTGCTTGTTCTTGTTTCTTGGCCTGGAATTCTATTTACCTTCACACTCTTTTGTCAAAATACTGTCACTTTTTAAAGGCTCTCTTAATAGTCACCTGCTCCATTAAGTGACCCCATCTTCTCTCTCCTCCTCAAAGAGATAAATCATCTTTCCTTCTGAGAGTGCTCTAACATGTTACTTTTGTCCATCATCTTCTACCATATATATGGTACTATATATACATATATAGTTCTAATATTGCAATACATTTCTAATCTCTTTGAGGGCTGTCCTTAGCACAGCGCTTTGCACATATAACTTTAAAAGTATTTTCGAGTTGCACTTACCTCTTCTGACCATCATCTTTTCTTAACTGTTTTTGACTGTTTCTCCATTACTCAGACAGATAATAGTTTTGGTAAGTTGTGTATAAATATGAAGGTATGTATGACAAATCTGAGGGTTATGTTAAGACTGTGATTGATGATAATATATTGAATGACAAAATAAGTAACCAGAAGGGCAGGGTGAATTTTAAAGAAAAACAAGGTTAAACAGAACACTGATCTAAAAGAAGCCATTGGCCCAGAGCTGGGTAAAAGGGAACTGGCGGAGAAGTAGGCTATGTAAGAAGAATGCTTGAGGGCTTGACTTCTGTGGTCTGTTGTTCAGCTGGACCATTTAATAGCAGTTAAACTTGGGAAAGTCACATAGCCTCTTAGCATATTTACTCTTTGTTTTTTTTTTTTTGTTTTTGGTACCAGAGATCAAACTCAGGTCCTTGCGCTTGCGCAGTAGGCTGCGAAACCTCTGAGCTAAATCCCTGGCCCTAGCATATTTACTCTTTCATTTATTCAAATTACTGAACACTAGAACTGTGTACCAGATGTTTCTAGACACTGTATTTACAATTGTAAATGACTTCCTTGTTTCTACACTCATGGATTTAACACGCATTACTGAAATAACATTTGTCCCAATGATAATATTCATCTTTAAAAGTTATGGTGCATAAGATTAAATTATACAACAAAATAATAGAGGAGTGAAATACCAAATATTATGTGAGATATTGAAAAATATGATAAATATATATAAAATATCTAAATATTTTACCAGGCTAAATTTTTACTCTTCGTAAAGATGATGCAGCAGGGTATGAATTTATTTATTCTACTTGGTACTAAGAGTGTATTTTTGACTTGCAGGCACATGGACTTTGCATTTGGAAATTTCTTAGCCATTACTTCCTTAATGTTTCTACTCATATAACCTACCTTTCTTATTATGTGTATGTTGGAGACTTTTATTTTTAACTGTTATTTCTGTTTAAAAAATTCTGTAATCGCTTTGTTTAGTTTGGATTATCTAATCAATTGAATTAAAAACTTGAAAAATTGATTTTTTTATTTATAAGGTTTCTAATTTGCATTTTACATATCTGTCTGCTATAGTTCCTCTTGCATTTTAATTTCATATTTCTCCATTTTTATGCGAAGTATTGTTTAATACATCTCTTTGAACAATCTAACCGTATTTATTCAAAAGTCTTTGTCATTTGCCACATTATCTCATGAAACTAGGCTTACTTGAATGAATGGCTGAATCTTTGGCTATTTTTTTTTGTGACACTTCAGACATTGTTATGGGTTTCCTGGAATTTTGCTTGGTAGAGTCATATTTTTCATGGGAGATTTTCGTGTTATTTTTTCCTGCCTCTCTACTTTTGAATTATTCATCACAGTCTACTGTTTCTACAGTTGTTTCCAATCAGCCCTCTGCTGTGCCAGCCCAGATGCAAACCTTATAATGATGTAGGAGACCACTGTGCAGGAATTTGGTGGAGATCTGCCACTGATCCTTGAAAGGTTAGTGTCTGCTCTAACAAGGCTGCTCTGCTCTCCTCTCCCCTCCTTGTATCTAGAGCGCCTTGTATATTCAAACTGTCTTTAAGAACAAGTTGGGACATGGACATAACACATCCTTCTTTGCCTCTTTTGATCAGTTTTGGCTGAAGTCCACTTTAACTGAAAAGAGAATAGCTACTCAGGCTTGTTTTCAAGTTCTCGTTGCATAGAATATTATTTTCCATCCTGTGATTTTTGTCTATGAATTTCTTTTTGGATTAAATACAGTATACTGTTAGATTTTGTCTCTTGATTCATTCTGCCAATGTGTGTCTTTTGTTTGAAGGCTTAAGACCATTCACACTGACCCTTATTACTGAAAGATATTGACTGATTCCTATGATTACATTATTATGCTGCTGCTGATTTCCTTTTATTTTTCCCCTCTGCTTAACTGCTCATCTGGCCTAGTGTATTCATTCTATTAGACTTTTTGGCATAGAATATCTTGAGAATTTTCTGGAGTGCTGGTTTGGAGATCATGAATTTCTTAAGGTGGTCTTTGTCATGGAAATAACTTATTTCTCCATCAAGTTTTAAGGATAGTTTTGAAGAATATAACTGTCTGGATTGGAAGTTGTTTTCTTTTAGGGCTTGAGACAGTTCAGTCCAAGATCTTCTGGCCTTTAAGTTTGTGGTGGGAAATCTGCTGTAATTCTAATGCATTTTTCTTTATAAGTGATTCCTTACTTTTCCCTAACAGCTGTTAAGATTCTGTCTTTTGTGTTGGACTTCTGAAATTATTTTTCTTAAATTCTTTTATTGGTACATTTTAGGTATACAGTACATTTACATTTATCAATGGGTGCTTGTACCTGTACATGATGTATCTTGGTTCTTATTTTTTCCCCATTACCTGTGTGCCCTTTACCCCTCTACCCTTCCCTATTTACATAGACTTCGTTTCCATTTTTTTTCTTTTCTCATAATTTTTCCTTTCCATTCTTTCCTTTCCCCATCTCCTCCCACCACTCCTACCCCTTTGGACCTTTTCCTGTTTCAAAGTATCAATTATTAGTTATTAATCCTTTTCATCCTTATTTACACTCTCAGTTTCTCACACTAGAGAAACTATTCGGTATTTACACATGTGTGTCCTATTTATTTCACTTAAGAGTATGGCCTCAATATGCATCCATTTAGCTATAAATGACTCTAGTTTCTCATTCTTTATGTCTGAGTAGTACTCTGTTTTATAAAAAACCCCACATCTTCTTTATCCAGTTTCCAGTTGATGGGCACTTGGGCTATTTCCAAGCTTTAGCTATTACAAACTGTGCCGCTATAAACAAGGGTGCACATATATCTCTTTGGTATGATTCTTTTAATTCTTTTGGGAAAATACCAAGCAGGGGAATATCTGGGTCAAATGGGACCTCTAGCCCTAGTTCTTTGAGCTATCTCCACACTGATTTCCATAGGGGCCACACCAGTCTGTACTCCCACAAACAATGGAGAAGGGTTCCTTTCTCTCCACAGCCCCGCCAGCATTTGTTATTGGTTGATTTCTTGATAGCAGCCACTCTTCCTGGGGTGAAGTGGAATCTCAGTGTTGTTTTCATCTGGATCTCTCGAATGACCAGTGATGTTGAACATTTTTTCATATGTTCATTTGCTGCTTTTACTTCTATGTCTGAGAAGTCTCTGTTCATTTCAGATGCCCATTTTTGAATTGGGTCTTTGAATTCGGGGGGTCTGATTTTTTTCAGCTCTTTATATATTCTAGATAGTAGCCCTTTGTCTGAGTTACAGCTGCTAAAATCTTTTTCCCACATTGTAAGTTGTCTGTTAGCTCTGTTGGTGGTTTCTCTTGCAGGGCAGAAGCTTTTTAATAAGGTGAAATCCCAGTTGTTGATTCTTTCTACTAGTTCCTGTGCTATTGAGGTTTTGTTCATAAAGTCTTTTCCTATGCCAATATCTTCAAGAGTTCTACCTCACTTATCTTCCAGCAAGTTTAGTGTTTCTGTCTTAATATTTACATCTTTAATCCACTTCAATCTTAGTTTAGTTCATGGTGATAGATATGGGTCTAGTTTTAATCTCTGGCAGGTTGAAATCCAGTTTTTCCAACACCATTTACTAAATAGGCTATCTTTCCTCCACTGAGGGTGGTTGGCTCCTTTGTCAAAGATGAGGTGGCTGAGTATATCTGAAGTTGTTTCTGTGTCTTCTAATCTATTCCACTGATCCTCAGGTCTGTTTCTTTGCCAGTACCATGCTGTTTTTAATCACAGTA